TGACTGTAAGAAAGTTTAATCTGATTTGTATGAGAAAATGAGAATTTGCTTTTCCTCCCGAAAAGCATAGGGAAATGAAAAGGAAGAGAGAAGGGAAGATTGAATCAAGCAAAATGCCGAAGGCCTCGGGTGCAGTGGACTGTGTAGCCTTAACTGCGTGTTGCTTTTGTATTGCTCCGGCAATGCAGCTACTTCTTGTGTTTCTCTACTATCCATCCCTCTTCTTCCCACAGCTGCTCCAAATTCCACACCAGGGGAGGAGATGTAAGTCATGGTTTCCCCTTCCCCTAAGGCCCCAAGAACAAACTGAGTCACTATCTGCGCACTGCACACTGGGGAACCAAAGCGTCTATTGGGCTTCCTTTCAGAACATAGGTGAGGGGTACTTGCAGGATGTGGGTGCTTCTCCCCTCAACAGGCCACACCTGGAAGGCTTTTACCCACCAGGGATGAGGGCTTCCCCAAGGCTGCACAGATGGGATTGCCTCCCCCAGCTCCCCCAAATATACTGTGGTCCCTCCCTGAATTAAGGAATGCGTAACTATGAAAGAATTGTATACAACAGGTGGAGGGATGAGCTGGGTACTCAGGAGAGGGCCTGTGACAGTCCTTGCGTCTACATGGAAGGGGTGTGTGCAGTCGACCAGCCCAGCTGGGATAATCCTTTCGTAAGTTGGTCAAATTGAGCTCCCCAAGATGGCAGGTGTTTGGTGCAGAGGGTAGCCAAGCACAGCTCGCCCCTCTATCTAAATTGTCAGTAGAGTCTGATTATGAAGCATGGCTGCTTTGTGCAAGCGTACATTTGTGTGGGTGTGTAAGCGTATGAGTGTGCATCTACAAGCATGCAACCGTGAGTATGTGTGTGTATTTGAGTGTGAGAGGTGTAGTGTGTACGCATAAGAAATGCATGTGAGGGAGCAGAAATGTGTATAAGAAAATGTGTTGGTTATTGTCAATTGCCAATGTACAATGTACATGCACACGAGGGCTTTCTTAGTTATGTTAATGAGGTGAGAACTGTCTACTGTGGGCGGCATCATTCCTTAGGCAGGGGTTACAGGACTCTATAAAAATAAAATGGTCTGGGAGCCAGCATTTATGCATCCGTTGCTGTCTTATAATCATGAACATGATGTGGTTACATGCTTTACGTTCCTGTTGTTTTGACTTTCCCATCATGATGGGCTGTAACCCAGAACGTTGGCCTACATTAACCCTTTCTCTCGTGAGATGCTTTTAATAGAGAATCTTATCACAACCACAGAAAAGAAATGAAGTCAGCAAGCATTCAGGATTATGTGTGTGAGATATAGACACTCGTGTGTATGCATTCAGGCCCCTCTGAGTATTCATTGAGTGGGGCTGAATTTTGGGTAGTAGGGCATGACGGAAGTGGGTATAAAGCTGTGGGTATGGGCAGGATCCTGCCAAGAGGCCAGAGCTGGCAGGCCTCTCTCCAATCTCACTGAGACCACAGAGGGCTGGTCACACGACTGTTTATTCATACTACACAGAGGAAAAGAGATCAGAGCAGGCAGAGTGGAGTAAGGGATCAAGTTATCTGTAGTCTAACCTTCAACAGAGTCTTGGAAAAACCAAGCCTTTGGGCCCTACATGATTCTTAAGCTCGGCTCAGCTTTAAGACTTCACGTGTAGACAGAGTTTGTTTTATTATTTTTTTATGAGCTCTAGTTGTCTGGAAAATTAACACAATAATGTGTTATGAAAATCAGTCGTAACGGAACTTTGAAAATGGGTGGTTTGTAAGACACTCTCAAAACGTTTGATCCTGTTGCTCTGATAATGTCAGTGCCATCAGAGGGGCCAGGCTAGTGTGTGATGAGGAGGTTGTGAGTGAAAGCAATCGCTTCCAAACAGAAGCACACGGCTTCTGAGGCCAGCTTGCTCTTTACAAAAGGCAAAGCCCAAGTCATGGAGTTGACTTGGGAAGCCCGATGCCCACCAAGGAATGGCAACCTGATCTTCCAGGCTGGTAGATGGAAAAGCATGGCTGCGAGGCAATCATTAATTCAAATAGGCACATGGTGTTACCTTCAGGGCATTCTGCCACCTGGTAACTCATCAATAAAATATCAGGTACAGCCGAAGCCCACAGCTAATCTGAGAGCAGCATTCTCACTTGGAAATGCTGGCTAGACAAAGGCTGCAGTGCAGCAGAAATGTCTGTGGTCTGGAATTAAAATTTCAGGCAAGGGAGTGAGCACTGACACCCTGATTTGGCTGTACACGGAAGGGCGGGTTCTGGTCGTGGAATCTGGTAGTGGTAACTGTCCCGGAGAAACTCTCTTTTTCCTCCCACTGCTCCATGTGTGTGTTGTGGGCCAGGCCTCTCTGCAGAGTGTCTAATTCATCCTGGAATCAATTCAGGCCCCGGAGTCAGGGTTGGTTAACCAAGGGCCAAGCCCAATTTCTAAAGTCTTTTCATTGAACTCACAACTCTTACGGTATCGATTTTGCATGACTAAAGTAACTCCGAAATAGAAAAGTATGTGGATACAGACGAGTAAAAAGAAAGTCCTAGATGTGGAAAGATTCCTGACTCACCATTCCAATCGAGACATTGTGCTGCTTCATGACAGCAGTAAGGATGAGCTTCTGTGGATTGCAGTGCAGGATTTCCTGTGGCCCTTGCTACAGCCTGGTGTGGTTCTGTGGCTTGCATCCGCAAGTCTCAAGCTCAAACTACTCTTTGTCAATGTCCATCATACATTAAGTTGAGACCAAAACACGATCAGAATAGAGCTGAGTGTACTTAGAGATTTAGAGATTTTTTTCCCACACCAATTGGTATGACTATTTGTGTCTGACTGTTTTGAATGGGGTTAGTTACTTCATCCCTGTTTCTGTGGCAAAATACTCTGACCAGAAGCAGCTTAGGGGAGGAAAGGGTTTCTGTTTTATTCTAACCTGTAAACCCCATTTATTTCTGGTTACAGGCTAGAGCCCATCGCTGAAGGAATTCAGGGCAGGAACTTGAGAAAGGCCTGCTTGCGATACATGCAGCCCTATCTCTTACCAGGGAACTCCCAGAGAAGGAAGTTCAGCAGAAGCCATGGAGGGTCATTGCTCTGAGGCTCAGTGATAGGCTCAAGCTCAGAGACCTTTCTTCTCCAGCCCAGATTCATCTGTCCAGGGAATGCCCACAATGATCCGGAGCTCCTACATCAATTAACAATAAAGACCTCGCCAATAAACCCATAGGCACACCTGTATCTGATCTGGACAATCTCTGAATTAAAATTCCTTTCCTAGATGACCCTAGGTTGTAAGCTAAACAGGATGGTTCAGAACATGGCCACAGTATTGTGTCGGGCTTTTTGATATTGTTACCATCTTCCTTACACTTAAAAGCTTCAGAATTCTAAATCACCACAGCTTCCTTTGTGATCGTAGGTGTGCAGGGTTTATGCCACACGCCTGGCACCACACTTGGAAGTGATAGGCAAGATTCAGTTTGTGGAATTGCCTTTTGACTCTGTTAATCCCATCCCTACATTCCCCAGCATCACAGAACACAAAGCAAATGGTAGCAGTTGTTTTGACCCCATAGGGGAGAGGATGAAGCTCTCTGGGTCCCCTATGGGGGGCATTCGGTGTTTTGAGATTGAATGATGGATCACAAGCCAGATGTCTACCTGGTAGAGTTCTTGGAGACTCAGTGTCTTGCTTCTGGTTTGATGGAGTCCTGAATGAAGCCAAACCTCACAGACCCCAGTTAGAGTGTTTGTTTCTCTGACTGTTTTAGCTCTGGGTCTGGCATCGCTGAATCATGAGCGTATTCTGGATAAAATCTTCCAGCTACAACAAATCAATCTTCTATTGGGCTTTAGTAACTAAGCTTGGTGCTCGTTAGTTACAGCAGTGAGTGTTTATTGATTCATATGGTTCTGAAGATGTTTCTTTAACAAACTAGGAGAACTATCAAAGCCTTTGGCATTTTTCAGCTTTCTCATTTGTGTGACACTTTCCTTGCAGCCTGTCTTTATGAGAGAAGAGGATGAAAAACAGTCTCCCCAGGAAACCAACTTCTAACCCCACCAGCCGACTTTCTAATTGTTCCTCCAAGTCAAACCCACCCCAGGGAGCTGGCACTTGAAGGCCCATTGGTTCACATCCTTTCTGTCACTTCACATAGCTTCCACTGTCCCATGACTGAGAGTTAATATTTAACATCATGTCCTCAAAAGGCTATTGCTGGTACTCAGTTCAATCCCTGACCCCCAATAACTTAAAACATTTTTAGGTGTTTGCGTTGGTGTCTGTGTGAGTGTATGGCCTGTGTGTATAGGTGCCCATGGAAGCCAGAAGAGGGGCCATATCCCCTGGAACTGGAATTATAGGCAGTTGTGAGCTACCTGACATGGTGTTGGGAACAGAGGTTGGGTCCTCTGGAAGAGCAGTAAGCCTTCTTAACCACAGAACCTCCCTTCTAGCTCCACTTCTAACCTTTTCATTGCTTCCATGCCCATCTGAAAGTAGATTATGCATTGCTTTAATAGCATGTCTGTTGTTACCAAGCAGAATGTTCACTCCATGAGGAAAATACTTTTGCCAAAATTTCTCTGGAATACAGAACAGCTTAGGCATAGTGCAGGGGCTCAACAATATCAACTGAGGAATGAATAGATATCGTAAGGGTTATGAGGCCCTTGTGTTAGAACTTGACATAATACTTGGCCTAATACAACGTTAGATTTCAAAAAAATGTAAGTTGTTATTAGGCCCCCAATAACATCAAGGCTCTATTTACAAAACCCCTTTTCTAATTTAAGTGGGAAGAACTTTGGTCTCGTGAATATAAGAAGTGATTAGTAAGAGGGCGGTGAATGAGGAGAACCTCAAGTTGTGTAGTTGATCTGGTGTTCAAAGACCAATGAAACCATCCTTGTTCTAAAAAAAATTAAACCTTTTTATTAGTATATTTATTTTATATATAAAAGAAATACAAAAAAAGAGAACGAAACACAAAGAAAATGCTTTTATGGCAAATCGGATTTGTCGGTGCCTTCAGCTTGTGCTCCAGGCTCCGGCCCACTGGGTGTTAACAAAGTCCGCCTGTTGTAATGGCCTTTGATGATGCCTGTGTTGCTGTTCTCATTGAGTAGTTGCTTCTGCCTTTGCCGGTTGAGAGACTGGACAAGGCCAAGGACAACTGCAGCCAGAGAGTATTGCCCGGGCAGTCTTCTTGGGGGCAAGATGAATGGGTTGGGTTGGACTCTTCCGAGGAGAAAGTACGTTTTGATTTTTCCTTCTTGCTCACTGATGCCCTTCACATAAATCTCTCCTCGATAATCAAAGGCAAAGCCCTGGTCCTTCAGGATAAGATAGGTCTCCTCTGGAACTTGGATCCGGCCACTCACCCCCGTGCTGTCCATTCGACTTGCCAGGTTTACAGTTTTACCCCAAATGTCATACTGTGGTTTCTTAGCGCCAATCACGCCTGCTACCACTGAGCCATGGCTGATGCCTGTGAAAGAACACAAAAGAACAAGAAGTAAGGTAGAGGAAGGGCAGGTAGGTGTCTGGACATACCAGGAAGTAATAGGTATGTGTGTAGTCTCCTAGGGGAACAGCATAGTCCAGCTCCTACCTCAGTGAGTCACCTGGGTGAGTTGTTAACTTATGTGGACCTCACCTTTCCTATCTATGGGTTGGAATATGAATGGAAGTTTATGTGATCAACAGAAGAGAAGAGTGATCAACAGATCAATACGGCTCGATCCCACATGCACATAGACTTTTCTTGGATGTGGGATGATCAAAGTGCTGACCAGGACTCAGGGCCCTGGGATCTTTTGTTGCTTACACAGTGCTCTGAGGGCTTGGGAAGACCATTTCTTTCTCTGTTTTCGTCTAGATCTCCAGACTATTCTCTCACTCCATGGCAATGTCTCCAGTATACCTCTTGTCCTCTTGAAGCCCACTTTCCCCACTGCTACAGGAACGAAAGGATAAAACCCATGCTCTTAGGATTATAATCCTTAACTTCTTTGGACTTTGGACTTCTTTTGCATGGTGTGACAGCCTATTTCACCTCGTTTCCTCCCTCTCTACCATGCCACACTGAACGGCTAATTTCCTCATCTGGTAACCATGTTCTCCTTGGTACCATAGTCTTGATTTTTGGTTTTGTTTGAGCTCTTTGTGCCCTGCTTCAATCCCCTTCTTCATTTGGAAATGTTTTTTAATGATTTTGATGGTAGTCTCAATGCTTACTCCTTCAGGAAATCTAGATGACACCTCTAGAATTGACAGCATTTCACTAAATGTGCACTGTGCACATCTTTCTCTTCTAAGAAAGACTTTCATAATTCTATAAACATTGGCTGGGCATCTGATATGTGAGATATTGGTGGGGTAGGGGAGGCAAGAAGACATAGGCTTGTCTCCTACTGGGGAGACAGAAAGTAATTTTAAAAGCAGGTAATATAATATTAGCAGATAATGGAAACAAAATCTATCAGTGTGTAGGACTAGGAGACCAGAGACATTAGACTGTTGAGTAGAGCAGTTTGGAAAGACCTGGCCAGAGGCCTGAGGAAAGAGATAGGACTAGCCTTATAGATAGCTGGGTAAGGTCATTCTAGGCAAAAGGAAGAATAAAACATGTGTACACAGGCACTACATGCCATACTCCACATACATACATATACTATGTACCATACTATAATGCATACATATACAATACACACTCTACATTATACCATAAGTCATACATACACACTATATATACTACATTATACATGCACACATACACTACACACCATCTAGGGCACTACACTATACACTGTCTATTATACTATACACACAGACACATACACTGTGCATTATACCCAACACATGTATACATACATTTAGACATTATACACTATACATAACACACACACTGGCTGGAGAAGACGCAGGAATCACAATGACAATCAGCTCTTTGAAACCTTGAGAGACATTATGTCATTTGACTCTCATATGATTTCTGTAAGGTCACAGGCAGTGAGGGTGATCATGCAGGGTCTAGCCAGCACATGAGAAAGCAGAGGTGGAGAAAGTCTTGGCGTTGTGCACAAAGTCACAGAGTTGGCTATAACAGACATGGAACACAGACTGAGACGCTCAGTCCAGTGGGGATTTAAAGCTTCTCATTCTGAAGATCGATGAAACGACACCAGCTGTTTAATATGTCACATCAAGGGGTAGCCCCGATCTCACCAATGTCTTTGGAATTTACTTAGACCATTTCCCTTTTCAGGGCTAATATTCTTTTTTGATTCTTGGTTCAGTTGTGAAGTCAATGATTTCAGAAAAGGACAAGAGATTGATGAGAACTGTGGGATCAAGCCTTCAAACATCCTATCCATAGATCAAAACCATAAATATAAATCCTTGTTTCAAAGAACAAAAGCATGTGGCATTCCTCTGATCTGAGGAACAGATATTGATATTCCTTTAAACCTCCGCCTTTCTTTTCTTGCAGGCTGCTAAGGGAGAACCTAATGAAATAAAGTGGCCCATCGGTTCCAGCACGAGGACAGCAGCAAAAGTTGTTTTCAACTGTCATTGGGTAGCCCGAATGCCGTTCATCTCAGAGTCAGGCTCACTGAAGCTGCTGCTGGCATGACTGCATGGCTGTGCGGTGTGATGTTAGGCTAGTGACTCTGATTTAGGATCGAGTGTCTTCATCTACAAAATGCAAATGTGAGCTAGAGCCTGCGCTCTCAGCCTGGACTTCTGGAGGCTCCGGAAAGCCCAGAAGAGATGAAGGAGAAATGAACAAATCATGCAAACACGGAGGATTATTATTCAATCGCAGTGATTACTGTGTGGCTACTTTGATCAAGGAGTGCCTGTCCCTGCCATGGCTGAGAAACTGCTCCTTTCTGCCTGTCTCTGGCACAATACAGAATGTGAGAGCCTCAGAGGTAGAATCCTGCTGTTTCTCGAGGCGTTATCCAGAAAAAGCAGTGAGTAAATACATTGACTACCAGCTTTGAGTAGCATGAAAAAGTCAGAATTATGTGATTCCTGGGTCATTAGCTGCCTTCCTAAGCATGCCTTTGTATAGGTGGCGAGGGTGCTAGACAGATAAGTTGGAGAGGCCAGCCTAGTGTTTGCTTTGTGCTTCTGCATGGAACAGAATCCTGCCTCGCTGCCAGCATCTAGGATGAGGAAGCCCAGAAAGGCCTGAGTTGACTCCGTTCCTGTCCTTGTCAGGGTCATACAGAGTCTCATGCATTTTGCAAGCAAAAGCTCTCCTGGCTGGATGCCCAGGACAGGGAGGGGTTGATGGAACAAAGACACTTGGCTCAGTGAGGCCTTCACCTCGAGCTGCAACTCACCAATTCGGAGTTCAAAATTGTTGAACGAATGCTTGTTGATCTCCTGTATGCTTTCGGCCAGGGCAAGAGAGAAGTCAGCCAGGGCACACAGATGCCCCCATTTATCGTCACATTGCTGGAGAGAATATGAGAGAAGGATTCATTCAGGTTTACAGACGTTTGATATCTCCAGCAAAGGTTTTGCAATCTAACCCCAACTGCACACTCCTTTTGGAGGAAACAACCATGGAAGCGAGTCCCTAGACTCTCAAGCCATCAGTATCCAAGAAACACAAGATCACAGAGGATTGAATTAACACTATAGTCTGTGGTCGCCATCACATCTTTCCTTCACATCAGAAGCTTGCTGCATTGTGGATTCCTGAGTATGCGCACTGCTGGGCATGTATTGGATCAACGCCCATCTGGACGTGTTCCTATCCTTGTACATGGAGACTTTCCAGTCCCCAAACTGTGTCTGTGAATCTGAAATGCTCACAGCATCTGGTTAAGTGACTTTCCCATGCCTATTTGCGAAATCCCTGAGAGGACATGCAGAGTGACTCTCTTTACCACTATTTCCAAATCTGTAAAGAGAGGCGAAGCTTGTTGGTCCTGTCCACCTCTTCACAGTTGAATGAGATTTGTGTGTGAGAGAATTTGGGACCCTACAGAGATTGGTAGTTCAATCAAAGGCCAAGCATCAGATAAATCTGGTCCTTGTTGTATTCAACATTGTCATTTGGGTTGTAAAGAAGCAAAATATAAAATAGAAATAAATGGGAATGTTTGTGTACAATAAAACTTTATTTACAAACATTGGTAGTGGGTCGGATGTGGCCTGGAGGCACTTGTTTTCTAACTCCTGCTATTGAGGGCCACACTTGTAATACCAGTGTGGGTTTCTTCTCACATAGCTGTGCTTAGAGTCTCTCCCTTTAATAAAAATATGCCACAAGAAGCTTAAGTGCAATCATGACTTAATGAGGACTTCATCTTCCCCATGATATTGATGCAAACTCATAACACCTGTTGAGTTTTGCAAGATTACAGGCTTTATATGGGGAACATGAAAGCTATCTCAGATAACTAACCCATTAGCCCCGGAAGGTAGAAGGTAGTATCCCCATCAACACTGGTGCCCATAATTTCCAAAGCTACTACCCAATCCCCCAACCTGTACCATCACCTCTACCACCATCACCACATAACAGCTTTTGAAGGTTAAAATGTAAGTAAGAATAAGGAAACGGATAGGTATTAGGGGTTTTTTGTGATACCCACAGCTAAAGCAGAGTCAAGGTATTTCTTTGTACAGATTTTTGTTCAAACGAACAGAGAAATTTAGAATGAAGCCTGGAAGATTTTTAACAGAGTATCAGCACCTCATTCAGCAAGCCTCTTTTCCCAAGAGTGAATGTCACCCCGTAACCATGAAAGCCAAGTTTAGATTTTTTTACTGCTGTTCTTCAAGCCGTCCTTAGCATAGGACAACAGGCAGGCACATACACAGGAGTGGCCAAGTCCAAGGAGACCTTACCTGTTTCTCTGGTGACAGTCCCGAGACGGCCATGTATGTGCTGCCAATGGTCTTGATCTTCTCTATGTCTTGAAACCGGTCCTCCCCAAGCAGCTGCAATGGATCCAGGTCATGGTGTTAGTCCTTGAGTTCACACAGCTGTGAAAACTCAAGGAGGCTCTCGGAGCCTGGAGCTCCTGAATATGGGCCCTGCACCCACCATGGGGAAAGGCCTAACTAAAATGATTGAGTAGCTTTGATGTGGTGTCTTTTCTCTCTGAAGGTCACATGTTCAATCAGTCAATCCATGTTTATAAGCATTTACTAAGTGTCAGACGGGTGTGTCTGAATTCTCTTGACTGTTTCAGTGAATCCTGGAATAACCAAGGGTATTTGAGAAGCTCCAATAAGACATAAAAATGTTCCCCAAATCAGTCAACAAATCTTTTAGGGTTTACTTCCAAGCACGTACTTAGAATGTTACCACTCCGACTTTTCCCTGGCTGTACCCTATTCTAAGTCACAGGTCTAGGGCACGGTTAGCATTCAGTTGTGCCCACTGCTATCCTTGCCTTCTCTCCCCCAGCATAGAGGCCAGGTGATAATGTTTAAGAGTGAGTCAGAACATGCATGCCCCTGCTTGGTGCAGAACCCTTCAGTGCCTTCTAAATCTACACAGAGCCAAAGTCAGTTTTCAGTGAGCCCAGCAAGACTTTATAGAGGGAAGGAGCCATGAGCCTCTGAAAGTTAAAAAAATAGCGAGAAATGAATTCTTCCTTGGAGCCTCTAGATCAGTGGTTTTCCACCTTTCTAATGCTGCACTCCTTTAATTCAGTTTCTTATGGTGTTGTGACCGCCAATCATAAAATACTTTTTATTGCTACTTTATAACTAAGTTTTCCTGCTGTTATGAATCATAATGTAAACATATGATATGCAGGATATCTGATATGTGACCCAAAGGAGTCACAACCTACAATTTGAGAACCACCGCTCTAGAGAGAACAGAGCTCTGCCAAGACCTGATGTTAGCACCTTTCAGTTCTCTAATACTTTGCCTCCTTTTAAGACCATAAAATTCATAGGGTCTCAAGTGCTGGACTTGCATAGGCCAATGCGATAGATGAAACAGGCATGAGTTTATGTCTGAAGGCTGGAATCTCAGACAGCAAAAGAATGGGCTGGATCCAGCCATCAAAGCCATGGCTTTAAACCTACCTATATTGCTTAGCAAATTATAGACTCACGTGGTCAAAAAAAGAGAGAGAGGGAGATACAGTAAAGATAGATTCAAAGAAGAAAAAAACCCCTCTAAATGGTTTACAGTGTGTTAAAAATATATGCAGGCTTGGGAGAGAAATGAAAAAGGTTAAAATCCTTAAAATAAAAAAGAAAGAAAGAAAGTAGTTGGGTGTGGTAGCACACACCTTTAATCCCAGCACTTGGGGGGCAGAGGCAGGCAGATCTCTGTGAGTTCAAGGACAGCCTGGTCTACAGAGTGAGTTTCAGGACAAAGATACACAGAAAAACCCTGTCTCAAAAAGCCAAAAATTACAAAATAAAAATAAAAGAAATAGAGATTAATATAAAGCCATGTAAAGATGAAAAATACACAGAGAGTCAGGATACTGTATGTTGTTATGTTCTCTTTGAATTGTTTGAATGCTGAGGAAGGAACAACAGCTGCCAAAAGATATTTGTTTATAAATGCTGCTGAATTAATCCAAGATAGGTAATTTGAAAATATCTTGACTTTAAAATTGAAGTCAATAGGTATGTTACTTTGGAGAAGAGGTTTTGCTTTTGTTTCCACAGGAAATGAGAGGTTGTGGATTCATTCTAAATTAAGAAATATCAGGTTTGATCAAGGAAGACCACTTGAGAAATTTCTGGTAGGAGCAGATGGCCCAGATGTCTACATCCAGAACAGATTCAAGACTGCTGCCTGAGATGATCAAGCCTCACAGGATATGCCAGTCATGACTTGATGATAATTATAAATTTTCTTAGGTCCCCATAAGATTATCAGTGTCCCCAACCAGCAGGAAGTAGCCTGGAAAACAATGTGCACATTCCCCAAAATTGAACTATGGATATTTTTCTTTGTTTAGAATGTTGGTTACAAGTTGTTATGGATAATGGTCAGGAGAAAAGCTAAACAAATATTAGATTCAGAGTTCTTGTTCCTTAATAAAAGTGTGTGTGTGGGGGGGGGAAGAAGTGTTGTGGGACAATGGTTTGTAGCCTGTCAATTGTATTTTAATAAAATGCTGATTGGTCAGTAGCCAGGTAGGTAGCATAGGTAGGACAACCAACAGGAAGTAGAGGCGGGAAATAAGAACAGGAAAAGTCTGGGAAGAAGAAAACTTATTCTGCATTCCAGACCCAACCACAGAGCAAGCAAGATGTAACTGCCTCACCGAAAAAGGTACCAAGCCATGTGGCTAACATAGACAAGAATAATGGGGTAATATAAGTTATAAGAGTTAATAAGAAGCCTGAGCTAATGAGCCAATAAGTCTATAGTTAATGTAGACCTCTGTGTGATTTCTTTGGGACTTAACGACTGTGGGAACCAGGCAGGTCACTCTGAGATTTCACATATATATGGGATCATAATATGCAAAACTCAGTAGCAGAGAGTAGAGTGGTTGTTAATAGTAGCCATTAGATAGCCAATGTGAAGTGGAGATATGGCGATATAGTTACAGGGCAGAATGTTTCAAGTAGACAGAAGGAGATGTTCTGCTTCTCCTTCTGTCCATTGCACACTCTGGTGACTGTGGTGATTTGAAAGAAATTGACCCCAAGGGAAGTGGCATTATTAGGAGGTGTGGCATTGTTGGAGTAGGTGCACCCTTAATTGAGGAAGCATGTCACTATGGGAATGAGCTTTGAAGTTTCTTTTGCTCAAGCTTCACTCAGTGTAACACTCAGACTGCTTCCTGTTGCCTGCAAGTATAGAGCTCTCAGCTATTTAATTGGGGTGACTTGCTTACATTCACAGGTTTTGCTTTACAAGAGTTGCCATGCTTATGGTGTTTCTTCACAGCAGTAGAAACCCTAACTAAGACAGTGACTAAAGTAAATGATGTATTGTATTCCATCTTCAAGAGGTTACATTTCATGTTTTTTTTTTTACCATGATGTGGGGGTAATAAATATGTTGATTGACTTAACTAGTCTACATTTTATATATTTATCAAGATATCAGTATATTCAGATGGAAATTTAGAAAATCAAATAATCTAATACATGTTTGTCTTTGAAATATACCCTAGACTTCTGATGCTTAGATTTACCTCATCAAAGTCAGCGATGATCTCATTCAGCAAGCGCAGACATTCCACTCCCTGGTTGTTCATTTCTGTCTGAGAGTAAAAGTCTGCAAATCCGGGAATGGAAGCAAACATCACTCCAACAGCATCATAGGATTGTGAATATAGCTCCTAGGGCAGAGAGGAGGTAGAAACAATCATTAGAACTCAAGTTCTGCAATTAGGCTACCTGTACATAAGGACCTGGCAGACAGGAATCCTGTGGCAGGACAAAAAATTATGAGGGTTCAAGCATGATAAGTTAGCACTGTATGTCTCAGGAACCCCAAGCTGCTATGACCAAATACATCAGTCTGGAATGATTATAAACCACCAATGTGTTTCTTATGTTCTGGATGCTTGTAACTATCTGTCAGACTTAGTGTATAATGAGGAGCCACTTTCTGGTCTAAAGATGGTCCTTTCTAGCTGTGTCCACATGTGCCAGAAGGAGCAAGGCAGTTCTCTTGAAACTCTTTAATAATCACACTAATCTGGTCATCATGGTTTGGACACAAAGACTCTTCCAACAACTTCATTGTTAACTCCTTGGTCCACCAGTCCCTTTTTGTATTGATAGGATAAATTAACCCTTTTTGTATTGATAGGATGGTGTTATTTGGAGGTGAGGGGGGAATAGAAGTTGAAACCTAGTTGGAGAAAGTAAGTTACTAGGGCATGCCCAGAAATATATACCTTAGAAAATTTGGAGGGATAAAAATGTTCCAACCCTTGGATCATTCTCACAGATTCATCACATGATTTATGATAATTAAAAAAAACATGTGGTCTTCAACCTCAGCTGAGCCAACACTTCTGAACATTGTGTCTTTGTCCTTGACCAGTTCTAGTCTTCTCAATGACTGGTCTAGAGTTTCATCATTCGCCTTAACCCACCGCATCACCCTTCTCTGCAGATGATCTTTCTCGCACCTCACTGAGAAAGCTGTGGCTGGGTAGGAACTCTCCTTGGCTTGAGTCCTCATGCACACACAGACATATGTAATCATTCATCCTTTCCCCTTTACCACCCCTGGTTTATGTCTTACTTTTTTCTTATGTTTTACTCCTGCCTTCTTCATGCTGGTCCCCACTCTCTGTCTTTTCTACGAGAAAGAACAGCATGCCCTGGATCTTGCAGATACTTGTGTCTGTCAACCCGTCTTTCCTATCCTGGCTTTGATCATTTTAAAGCTGTCTTTCTCCTCTGTCTATTGCTATTCACATCTCAGGCTGGAATAAAAACCAATGGAGTTATTCAAATTGGGAAAATCAGGGTACATGTGCCAGTTTTCATCTTACTGAGCATCCATGTAGCTCAGCATCCTGGCCACTCAGGATCTTGTGTCTCTTGACTTTCTGTGAAGTATCTCCTTTTCTTGTGCTTGTCTTGTTTAAGGATTTATTTTTGAAAAACCTTCTGTTATTTTAAGCATTTTGTTCTGACTCAGTGGATGGTTCACCTTGGATATCTTCACTTGACAGATCTCATTTCTGCTCAACCTCTCCACCACTCACACACAGCAGTTTTCAAGTTTACATTTCTCAATTAGTTCTTGGTCTTTGAGCACCCTGGATTGTTCTCACACTCTGTAAACTCTGATACTACACGCTTAGTGTTTTTCTCTTTAAAGCTCAGACTTCCTCTGTCCAGTCATTCTCTGCTATTAGAAACACCAGAGCTGCAAAATCAACAAAAAAGGTGTTAGTTATTTTTGACTCTTTCTTGGTCCTGTCCTGTTGACCTTCTTTCAGTATTGTTGCTAATTTTAAAAGTAAGGCTCTTTCCAGTGTCTTACCTGACCACTAATAGGAAAGCTTCTTACTTGAGGGCCTGTAGCCTTGTTCTACTTGAAAGCATTCTCTGTATGCCCCCTAGAGCGATCTTTTAAAAGGGGAATTATGATATCGGATACTGAGCACCCTCTCCAGTCTTCAAGCCCTCCAGTGGCCCAGAGTTGCCCTCAAGGTAGAGTTCTAACACCACATTGTGGCACATATTCATGGACTGACTACCTACCACCTAACTCTTTAACCTACAAAGGTCTATAAGAAGTCCCCAATTCTTTGGGCTGCTAAAACACTAAAGCATTTCTACTTTTGTTTTTGTATTGGCTTTAAACTCAGAGCCCAGCATGTTTGTGCTATTCCATGGAGTTATATTGTCTGCTTTTCTACTTCCATATCCTGTTGTAGGTTCGGTTACAGGTATCCTCCGGGAGATTGTCTCACCCTACTTGTCTGTCAACACGTGTGGGTCTTGTGAGTTCTCTCTTTGGCCACAAGAGTGCACTCTGCCCATGTTTCCAGTAGCTTTTAAGAGGCAGGGGATTAATATCCCTAAATCACAGGTCTCCACAAACAGCTGATGGGAAGTGGCTTTTTGCATCCTTCTCCTTCGCCCCTAGAGTCTTGTAACTTTGAACTGCCAGATTCAGCTTCCACTGCCCACCTCGGTAGCTGATCTATCCAACAATGCGCCATAACTCAGTGTCTTCTTTCTCTTTCTTCCATTCTATATTTCCTAGGATCTCTGCCAGGGAATTTGCTACTTCTTGAGTTCTGGTTTTTAAGGTTTACTTCCAGAAGACGCCAAATGAAGAGGAAGACAGTTTCCACATTACCATAAAATACATTCATTTCAGCCACCTGTCCAATGATGGGAAATTTCCTTCTAGCCTGATGTTAGCTGCTTAGCCAAGTAACTTCCTGTTTCCTATCTTCACTAATCATGTAGAGATGTGTTTTGCAGAAACTTCTGGGCTCTTAAATGGGGGCAGGAGGCTGAGCTTAATGCTCTCAAAGTGCTACAGGCAGCACTGTAATACACTCCTTGCCCCAGCATCTAACATCTAAGTTTTCCTTTAAGCACGGATCCCATGAGGGCAAAGCTATATATACCACTCATCTTTGTGTGTCTTGTGCAGTCCTGTGATAAGATGCGAACCCTACGCATATACTCACAACCAGTTGCTAAGTTAATGACTTCTTGATCTTTTTGGGAAAACCTGAAAAATACGTTCACATGAACCTGATGAGCTATAACAATCCAGCCAAGTTTTCTAATTATCCGCATCTCGCAGATGAGTGAAGTGAGGCAGAGGAGTTACTGTTTTGGGTTATGTAGCTAACAGTGGAAGAGACAGGGTAGAAGGTTCCAGGGTTCCTTCAGTCCACATATCCATGAGTTCTTCCCCTATCATGGCCTATGTCACCGATTCATCATCAATCTTGAGTTTGAAGTGTGAATCAATTTAGTTTTCACCCAAAGGGACACAGGCGGCTGGAGACCGACTGTGCAGAGCTTCAGAGCAGGGAAGAGCAGCAGCAAACAAGTTCCTAAGGGGAGGCTGCTCATGACTTCATTTTAACACAGCTACCTCTTCCATGACAGCTACGGTCTGGTGTCCTTGGGGTTAGATTTTTTTACACATGAGTTTTGAGGAAGCGCAATTCAGCCCACACAATCTCTATTTCTATTTAAAGATAGAAAAGAGAAAATATTGCCCTCTGAGATCTACTCCTTGGCCAATTTTTTTTATTCTCCATGTTGTAAATGCCTCTACTGTGCAAAATGGCTACCCACTAGGGCTTATTTTCATTTTTTAACTTTCTTTTTATTTATTTGTTGTGTTTTTGACATCATCCATCTCCATCACTATCCCTTCGTATCTACCCTCTGTCCTTGCAATGCCACCTCCCCCCAAATAAAATAAAATTTAAGTGAAAAAAGAAAAAAAAATCTCATCCTCATCATGGAAGTTGTGTTGTGACACAGTGAGGCACGCAGTAAACACTATGTCTTTTTATCTTGGCTTGCAAGTGTTCATTGCAGAGTCATTGGTTTGGTTCAAGGCCTCTGGTTTCTGCCACACTATCAGTACTGGACCCTCACTGGGTCCTCTTGGATATCCTGTTGATCTTTTAGGACTGGCCCCTTCATATACTCTCATAGATCACAGATGGGGTGAATTCTGGGGCGGGCCAACTTATGAGTTCTGGTTCTGGGTAATTGTGGGGTTGGTCAACCCACCAGTTCTCCCCTGTCCTGACCACCGGTGTGAACTCTCCAGCATTACCCTGGCTAGTTCACCCCTTGCAGTGACGTACAAGGGGGCAGAGCCAGTTCTCTTACTTTCGTGCCTTCAGGGTTGGCTCCACCACACTTGTACCATCAGGGCCTGCTCTACCATGTTGCCCAGGAGAGGAGCAGGGGCGCACCTCTCCAGAGTGCTGGAGAGCTGTAGCTGATGAAGGCAGGGACAGCTCTCTCGCTCTTACGACCTCAGGGCCAGCTCTCTCACCTGCCATTGGCAGTGAGCGTGAGAAGGGGAGGGCATCTCTCCCCCACCCACACCACCATATGGCAGATGAGAGGCTGGGCCAGCTCTCCCATGCTCACATTCTCGGGCTGGTTTACCTGCATTCCAATCAATAGGGTCAGCTTCCTAAACAGTGTTTGCCCACTGGAGTTCGGTTCTAATAAATCCTAGCCCCTCCCATATTCTTCTCTTTCTTTCCATTTCTCAGTCTTGCCAGCATTCAGAATGCTCTGATTTCTTATTTTATTTTAGATGTGTCTGTGTCTATGTGATGTGTGCTGATGTTTGCATGCATGCACATTTGTATGTATGAGTACATGTTTGCATGTTGTGAACAAAGGGGTGCAACACATGTGTGCAGGCATGAGGCTGATATTTGGAGTCTCTACCTTTTTCATTGAGCTTGGTTCTCTCATTTGAACTGAGAGATCAACAATGTGTCTGGTCTAACTTGTCAGGTTTCTCCAGGGATCCCCTCTCTCTGTTTTCCAAGTGCTGTAATTATCTTCATGCCTACCTGGCATTTAAGTGAGTACTAGTTATCCAAGTTAAGTGAGTACTAGTTATCCGAGATCTGTTCCTCACACTTGCATGGCAGGTGTTTTACCTACTAAACATCCTTCTAGTCACTGCTCTCATTTCTTAAAAAATAAAATTGTGGTAACACTGAGCACTTATATGCCAGGCACATCACAGAACACTGCCAGGATCATCTTACTTAATGCTCACAATAACTGCTTGAGGCAGATATAATTAAAGTCTTTATTTTATCTATGGGAGGATGAGAGAGGTTGAGGTTAAGTATTTTGCTTAAAACTCATCGTGATTAATGGGTAGAGCAGAAATTTATAACTGGAAAGTCTGACTCCAGAGCCCAAGCTACTAAATAATAATAATGTGTTCATTTAGGAATGATGGTAATACTAGCCATGATAAACATGAAGAAATATTACAACTGCTTAGCTTATTATTTGAATGGTAAGTTGATTTAACGTTGGGGGAACCTATGCTAGACAAAAAATATTGAACTTGAAGAAATATGGACTCAATTGCATCTACGGGAAGTGAGAAGAATGGGAAAAGGTGGGTGGGAGCGACTTCTCCTTTTGGCTGGATGCCAACTGGTGCAGAGAGTGTCCAGGGACACTAATATACATGAAGACAAATCCACAAGCTCAGGCTCTCAGGTGATGGCTTAGATACACATGAGGCCAAAACGGTATCCTTTGTTTCTTTTCAGGAATTAGAACCAGAATGGCTTGGTTTACCTACTCACTGGCTGACACAGAACATGAAGAGTGATGTGTCCCCATCTTCATGAGGGACAGGAAGGGGAACCCGTACTCTTGGGCTTGCCACATGGGAGGAGAAGTCTTCTTCGTCTTGAACACAAACAGGTCCTTGGGGAGATAACATCAGCGATGCCTGCCACCGTCACCGCAGCTCTTCTCGGTGTCTCCTCCACAATCAGATGAGGTGGAAGATTTTATAGGGACTTTCCCCAAGGAAATCAATGTGGAAAAAGAGATGACAACCCCTGAAGGTGTGGTCACAGGACCTTAGGCAGCAAGGTGGACTCTCTGACCTTCATTCCTTCAAGTGTGAAAGGTTTCTGACTGTGTCTGTGCTTGGCACCTGGTCACAGTGAAATACTCCCCTCCAGTTTGTTATTTGTCCCAATGCACTGCAGCTGGTTGTGGCCTTGTCACTGGTTCTGGTAAACTGCTTTCACCCATGTCGCTTTGGAGATGGGGTGGAAACAACTTTGCACAATTGCTGCCTATTGTGGATAAAACTGACCTGTCCATAATGGGCTCATGTCCTGAGCCAGCCAATAGGACTTGGGGAAGTGACTGGATGTGGAGGGTCCTAACCTAACTGATGGGTCCATACTTTCATAGCTTCGCATTGCAGAAAGTAGGAAGTGGGCCATTGGGGGATGTATCTAGACATGCATCTTATCCTCTGCTACCTACTTCTTGCTTTTTCCTAACTGCAGAAGTAAATAGCTCTGTTCTACCATGTGCCTCTATGATGGTCCTCTGTGTTGCCATAGAATTCATGGAGACGATCAGAATGAACTGAAAATCCTGAAGCTGGCAAAACAAGCATGTCCTTTCTTAAGATGCTTTGTTGTGGGATTCTCCTCTGTATGCTGTGAATATCATTGGTTAATAAAGGAACTGCTTTGGGCCTATAGCAGAGCTATAGGGGAACAGAGCTAGGTGGGGAAAACTAAATGGAATGCTGGGAGAAAAGAGGCAGAGCCAGAGAGAAACCATGTAGCCTGTCAGAGACAGATGCTAAAACTTTACCCGGTAAGCCACAGCCACATGGCGATACACAGATTAGTAAAAATGGGTTAAATTAATATGTAAGAGTTAGCCAATAAGAAGCTAGAACTAATGGGCCAAGCAGTGATTTAATTAATACAGTATCTGTGTTGTTATTTTGGGGCTCAGCTGCAGGGAACCAACAAGTGGCCTCCTTCCTACAAATTCTACTACAGTACTGGAAACAAACAAACAAATAAACAAACAAAAACAACACACCGACCTAGGCAGCCTTGCTTTCTCTTTCCTGATCCCCACTGTTTCAGTTAGAGACACAGAGAAAGCAAGGTGGTGCATGCAAAGCGAGATAACTCAAGTTAATACGTAATGGACTCAACTAAAAAGAAAAAGAGAGCGATAGGAGGCTCCACTAAACCTCCTGGGATCTAAGAAGAGCTACCGTTTCTTTGGGTTAGAAGAAATGAGAACAACCCCAAATTGATTTCACTTGGGAACAGCACAGTAGTAGCTGGAGGAGGTATGTGGAGGAACACAGCCAGCCTCATGTGATTCCCAGCAAATAGGTGTTCTGACCTCACAGCTTCTTCTCACTCAGATCTCCTAGTATCTCCCCTACACTGGCAATCTCCATCTAGATGACAGAGCCTACGGGGGCGTTACTGATGCAACACACTTAGTTTATCCCTAACTCCACTCTGGGAAAATTAGAAAAGAGAGTGAGGGAGCTTGGAGAGTCATATGGAATGGATTCATGCAACCTACCCACCACCTTTAGAGATGGTGGCTTTATTTAACTCACTCTAATGAACTGTTTTCAGTGTGCCATCTGTTTCTTTCTATTCTGGGTCTGAAGAAGCTAAAAGCACGTTGTAAACTGTAGAAGGGTGGATGGATATAGAAAAGCTATAATCGCTTTATTGTCATCTTTCTCTGCGGGCTGGAAGTACAGGTTTGGACTGTGTAGAGGATTCTGAACACTCGCACCCACCCTCCTCAATGCTGCATGCTGACATGGGGAAAGCTGCTCTCCTCTTTTCTCAGGGAACTGTGTTGTCTGATACTTTCTGTGCCCAGGCTGCTTGTAACTAAGTCCTGTGCTTCTTATACCAAGTGAAAACCAGGGGAGAAAGAATATCTGAGACCCGAGAATCTTCCCTGTCAATATTCATAATCTCTGTTCAAATGTCACCTTCTATTAGAGACTTTCTATGATCATACTCTGTGGGTTTTGCTGCACACCCCAGCTGAGGACCTAGAGTCTTGCACATCTCCAGCTCCTTTTTTTTCCCTTTTAGGATGACATCAGTCTCTCTTCTCTCTTTCCCAGGCACCTCACTGTTTTGATGTTTTGACTGAAAAGCAGCTTTCTCTCATTGGCTTGGGGTTCTCCTCTGAGGTTCCTGTGCTTCTGCCTCTCCATCTGGTGGTCATGACTGATATATGTCCATGTTTTCTCTGCTCTACCAGCTGCCAAATAATCTTGCAGCAAAGTCTCAAGAAAACCAGGCCTAAATACTACTCCAGAAAAAGTCACATGCTGAGAATAGGTAGCTGTGATCTGTCCTGGAGAGGCCCTTCAGGAGCCAAGTGCTTCCAATTGATATTCCAGTCATGCCTTATCTTTTCCTGTTTTGTTCTCCTGTGGCTCGGATGGGACTATATCAGTTGTCATTTAAGGTCCCAAGGCAAAGGTAAACATCTTTGAGGGTCTTAGAGATAAAATGAATGATAGGGTGTGGTTGGGCCAGTTGGAGACTCTGTTATATTCTCAAAGGCACCACACCCACAAATTAACACAAGTCAGCAATTCAGTAGCCAGTGGTCTCTGTCTCAGGCGGCTGGTTCAGGCTTTTCTGAGAGATAGTTTGCTGTAACCTTATTCTAAGCCCCTGGTGAGCTGATTGCAAACCTTGTCAGCCCAGCCTCTATGCCAGTGCACGTTGCCTTGATATGGCCTTTCCAAGGATCAGCTGGTCTTGTTTGAGTGCTTCAGAAAGGGATCAAGGACCAGGCATGAGGCTCAGTCTTGACCAAGGATGGCCTAATCTGTATCCTTGAGGGCACCATGTTGTGAAAACGAAACAGTCAGATTATTTAATGAACACCTACCCCATGTGAAGCATTGTGTCAAGAATACACATGCCTCCCCACATATACATCTACCCTCATACTTTATACACCATGTATGTATGTCATATATGTGTGTATGTCACATATACTTGTGTGAAAAATATATATGATATAAATATTACTTCAAATTGTGGTGAATAAAATGTTTGTAGCACAAACAACTTTCCTTCTAAGTCCTGTAGTTATTAACTCAGTTGTATTAAACACCTTCATTTTGTTGTGTAACCATCACATCCACCATAGAATAGTCCTCAGCATGCAAACCTGAGCTATAGCAACTCCCCATTACACCCTCCTTCAATCCCTATGAACCATATTTCTGTTCTCTGTTTATGTATTGGCATCGACGTGTGTCTACATTCCATGTAAATGGAATCATACATCGTGTGTGTACTTCTGGTAAACTGGCTTATTTCTTTAGCATACAGCTATGCTGTAGTGTGTTCTAGGATATCTTTTCTTATAGATAAGTAACATTTTCTTCCTTCTCCCTCTCTCTGTGTTTATAGGAAATATTTTTAATCTATGCATCCGTCAATGAATAGTTGGACTGATGCTTCCACCTTCTGACTTTTGACTACTATAAATAAGGTGTAAACATCTCATCTCCTTGAGACCCTGTTTTCAATTATTTTGCGGATACACTTAGAATTGTTGGAGCCCTCTCTTTCCTTTCCAAGACTATACACATGAAATATTATTATATCATATATATTTATATAAAATTTTGATATATGCACACACATATATAAAACCCTGAAATTCCAATCCAATCTTTAATAGGGGTCTTCTATTTATCTAACAGATGATACTTTGACAGGGGGAGAGAGTGTGTAAATTTCATAGCATCTGACATGTTGGATTGCTAAGCACCATGGTCTTTTTTCTTACATCTCCTGAGTGTAACAGAGTTTTCTTAGAGCTTGGGGTCAGTGTGGTCACCCGTTCTCCACTAGCAAGTCAGACCTGGGCTCACCTCATTGTCTCTGTCTTTCTCCAGGAAGTGACGGGCCACATGGCTGGGTAAGATATTACGCAGCATGTTTTCATTGTGTTCCCTCAGCTCCTTCATCTCGTTGATCTCCTCTTTGGCCTGTACTCGCCACAGGAAATCCAGGCGGGCTGTGTATTCCAGCTATGATTGACAGGAGACAAAGAGAAGCAGTAGGATCAGGTATGCGCATCTAGAAGGTGGTGGGGAAGGGTTTGCTGGGACTCGACACAGGCAAAATAGAACCTGATTTTCTCATCGAAAGCACAAGCTATCTGAGGATGCTCAAAGCTCGCAGGGATGTACATCTGTTCTCCCAGGCGCTATCTGCACATAGATCATCTTCTCCAGCGTGGGATTATCTGACAATACCCATGTCCTCTTTGGACTGTAGGTGGCTCATGTCCAGGAAGTTTTCCATCTGCTTGACATTACATTCTTTCTGCCTTGAACTGAATGTGTGCCCTGCCCCCAGCAGTTCATATCTTCAAATATTAATTCTTAACTCTTGATGGCATGTCTTTGGCAATGGCACCTTTAGAAAGAAGTTAAGGTTCAATGAGACCTCGAGGGTAGGATGCTTGGGCTGAGATATTTGACCTTACTAGAGGAGACAGGAGCAGCTTTGCTTTGCTTTCTTATGTGGACACACCGATTAAAGGTCATGTGAAGGACAGCAAGATGGCTCTCTGCAAACTAGAATATGCCATCATCAGCTACCAAACCCTGTTGATCTCAGCACTAAACTTTCCGGCCTCTAGAACTGTGAGGGGGTATATTTCTGTGTGTCAGCCACCAAGTCTGAAGAATCATCATCATCATCATCATCATCACCATCATCATCATCATTATTATTATTTGTGTGAAGGCAGCATGAGGAAATGTGTCCCTCACAGGGCAGAAGCTTGTCACCATTTGTTATCCCAAGACATGAGCAAGTATTAAAAACACATAGCATTCAGGTGGCAGCCTGTGTGCCCTGCTCTCTTGCTTGCACTATATAAATATTCAGACATTCGATTCAGATGGTAGATCTAATTATAAGGCAGTGCTTCTAGTCTTTATCTCACAGGTGAGGAAAGCAGGACAAACACTGTTAAGTCACCTGACCATGACAGCTACACCCCACTTAGGGGTGAAGCCAGGTGTTATCCATATGTCCCAAAGTCAGCTCCAGAGTCTGTTCTCTCCCTGACTAGGCAATAAGGAATAAATGAATGGAGGGATACTGGGAAGACCCTGGGCTTCACATCAAACAGCTAAGGCGTAGAGCTCTTGGTCATAATCATATATGGTCACATGGGTTAACAGGGGCTTAATCTAAGTTTTCTTGTCTCACTGAATTGGAGGTGACCCTCACTGGCCACAGGACAGCGGAGGAAAAATTACATCGGAGGTCTGACGCATCGCACATCAGTTTCTTCTTGTCCCGACTTCCTTTCACATTGGAGGTGGGCAGCTTCTCTTCCAGGGCTGCTCTGAAAATGTCTTTATATTAGCCTTGGGGCTATTGTTGTTTCCAGGTCTGTAGCAATAGCAACTTGCTGTACTGCTGGGCACAGTGTTTGGATGCCCCGAATCCAAAGACTTAAAACCTAGCTAGTTTCTGGGTTTTATTTTCAAGTCTCAGTGGAGGCACAAGGTCATTCGTTCAGCTGCGTTTATAATAGCCAAAACTGGAAATGATCCACGTGTTCATTCTGTTGGCTGAACAAACTGTAGTAATATACACAATGGAACTAATTACAGCTATAGAAGGATTTGAAGAATGTTCCTCTGCTCCTCTGATGGCTTGATCTCCAGGGGAGGGAAAATATATGCCGCACTTCATATATCAATTACTTAAGAACCTACGAGCACTCCCTCCTCCTTTACACACACCTCCACTCCCATGCTCATGACCTCTTTATGATAATCATACTGTGGGTGACAATATTTGGATTGTTAATCTAGACTATTACATGTGGATTTCGTAAAAGAGCAAATGGGCAATCATGGTTTTGTCACTGAAAATAGAAATTTGGAGGAGGAAAAAAAGCATAAGACAGACAAGGATGCTGTGGTTATAAAAGTCTCTGGTCATGTCAAGCTTGGTGGCATACACCTGTAACCCTTGGCAGACAGGGTCAGGAGGATCAAGAGTTCAAGTCCATCTGCTACACAGTGGGTTGGAGGTCAGTTTGTACTACATGAGAGACTGTCCAAAAAATGCCTAGGAATTTCAGTAAGAAATAGAAATGTCACTGTGAAGTCAGGGTGTATATTTCTACTTCCCCACTCTTAAAGCCGGGAAACAGTGACAATCTCCCACCAATATGCACTTCCAACTTGTAGGTTACAACTCAAAATGCCAGTTCTCAAAATGCCATACTCTTTCCAGAGACAGGTGAATTTTAGGACAGAGAATTCATAAGCTTAAAGCATATATCTGACATTGTATCTTATACCTGAAAGAATGGCCAAGATCAAAATTACTGATGACAACTTATACTGGAGAGTTTGTAGGGTAAAGGGAACACTCCTGCCTTGCTGGTGAGAATGCAAACTGGTATAGCCCTTTTGGATATCCATACAGTGATTTCTCGGAGAATTAGGAAACAACTTTCCTCAAGACCCAGCAATACCATTTTTGGGTATATACACAAAGGATGCTCAATCGTACCACAAGGACATGTGCTCAATTATGTTCATAGCAGCATTGTTTATCAAAGCCAGAACCTGGAAATAGCCTGAATACCCCTCAACTGAAGAATGGATAAGAAAAATGTGGTACATTTACACAATGGAGTATTATTCAGAAGAGAAAAATAACATTTTGAAATTTGCAGTCAAATGGATGGAGCTAGAAAACATTATATTGAGTGAGATAACCCAGGCCCAGAAAGACAAATATCATATATACTCACTCACACGTGGCTTTTAGACCTAAAACAAAGAGAACCAGCCTACAAATCACAATCCCAGTGAACCTAGACAACAATGAGGACCCTAAGAGAGGCATACATAGGTCGAATCTACATGGGAAGTAGAAAAAGACACAATCTCCTAAGTAAATTGGGAGCATGGGGACCATGGGAGAGGGCTGAAGGGGAGGGGAGAGGCAGGGTGAGGAGCAGAGAAAAATGTAGAGCTCAATAAAATCAATAAAAAAACAAAAAAGCATATATTCACACCATAAACCAGTCTATCAGAGACCATTGGGTTATGTCAGAAGGACTAAAAAAAAATTAGCTTTAATGGGTTTATAGTGGTCAAAAATGTGACACTTTGGACTGAGTCGGTGACCTAGACTGGAGCAGGCCTGTAAGCTCCACGGGAGTGGGAGTGGGAGCGGATCCAGACTGGGGACATTTGCGGAGGTAGGACTGAGCAGCAACCTGAGTTGGAGCAGGCCTGGGACAGTGAACTCCACGGGAGCAGGACTGAGCCAGAAACCTAGGCCAGAGCAGGTGGGAGACAGAGAACCCCATGGGAGGGGAACAAACTCTGGGAATGCTGAGAACCCTCCAGGAACATGGAATGACTGGAACCATAGCCCTGACTACACTATGAGGAGCAACCGTATGAACTTTGGATCCACCGGTACCTGGAAGATTGTCCAACAGAGTCACAGACAGCCCCAGCTACACCAATTAGAGGAAAAGATGGGTAGACAAGGTAAGAACACACAGCACCAGTAAAATCTAGTGACCCTACAACAGCAAAACTTGAACAACATATGAAAATCTGTCAACATAATCCATTATATAAACAAACTGCAAAATAAAAACCACTCGATCATCTCATTAGATGCTGAAAAAGCTTTTGACAAAATATCACATCCCTTCATGATAAAGGTCTTGGAGATTGCAAGGACATAAGGAACATACCTAGAAAGAAAATTATCATATGTACTCACTCATAAGTGGTTTTAAAACACAAAGCAAAGAAAACCTGCCCACAAGTCACCATCCCAGAGAACCTAGACAACAATGAGGACCCTAAGAGAGACATACATGGATCTAATCTACATGGGAAGTAGTAAAATACAAGATTTCTGGAGTAAATTGGGAGCATGGGGAGCATGGGGGAGAGCTAAAGGGGAGGGGAGAGCCAGGGAGGGGAGCAGAGAAAAACGTAGCGCACAATAAAATAAAAAAAAGTGACACACTGAAATTTCATAAGAACAAAAACTGCAATAGGTGGAAACACCGGAAACATGTACAGAAAAACATAAAATTCCCAGTGACTTAAGGAACCAAACTTACCACCGTCTTGGAATGATGCTGAGGGATAAAACCTGCTGGCAAACTTTGCATGGAGCAGATTTAAAAGGAAAGAGCTCTGCATTAACTTTGCTTTGTGAGCTACACTTGTAGGTGACATATAATTGATGAGGAGAAAATTCCCTTTTATAGTGTATTCCAGCTGACAAATTACAGGCTGCTGATAAGATTAGTATGTCACACTATTATAATAAATGAATATAGGCTATTATGTGTAGCCGCTAACATTGTCAAAACAGAGATGAGAAGATATGATAATCTCTTAAACGTAATTTGTAAAGAAACCAATTAAATATTTCATAAAACACTGAAGGTGGATCTCACTAAGCTTCTACACAGAACAATCAATGAAAAAACACAAAGAACTGAGAAATGTGTTCAATAACCTTAGAGGATGAGTTGACAAATAAGACAAAGAGATATTATAAAAGTCAGATGGCTCTCATAAAATATTTCAAGAAAAAAGAAGATGGAGGGAGATGGTAAATATTTAAAAATGCCTTAAGAGATTTATCATGTCATGGCAAGGCACAGACTTTGGATCTCAATTCAAATGAGCAAACTTTTAATAAGTAAACTATCCATTAATAAATGGAAACATGGTCTAGTATCTTGACAGAAGTAGTCAACTTCTCTTTTCTTTTTAAAGGTGTGTTAATGGATTTGTGATTAACTTAGAAGCTCCCTGTTTTTAGATACACTGAAATCTTTTCAGATTAAATGAAAAAAAAGTGTGGAGTTAGTTTACAGATAACCAGAGGGAAGTGACAGTGGGCCACATCCATGAAGATGCTTACCAAATAGGCTGGACGTGTGTGTGTGGGTAGGTCTTCATAAGGTCACTGTACTATTCTCTTTACTTCTGATTCTGTGTGAGTT